TTTTTTTTTTTGTTCTCCATTTTGTTGCTTGATGTATTTGCTACGGAAACAATAAATATCCTTTGATTAATTCTGTGTTCTTAAAACAATAGTATCATGAACACTCCTCGATATCTATTTGTTTGGTTTGTGTTTATCTATGTATGCATAAGGTGCAGCACGAAGCATGAATGATTCAAAATTTTTGGATATTCAAAAGGCAAGTGTGCGTTTCAGCTGACTTGAGAAATTGAGCATTTGATTATGCTATTTAATTAGTTAAGTATAAAGTCTTCCAGTCTAAATTTCATTATCTATGTGTCATGAAAAGCCTGTTACCTATTAGTTGGTCTGTTTAATTACTGGCTGCACTGGATCAGTTTCAGTCATGACGCATTTCTAGGACAAACTCTCATCGATTAAACCCGAAATTTGTCCAAGCCTATTGGTAACTAAAGAAATATCAGATTATATAAACTTCTCATATTCATTTATATTCCTACAAATACAGTATTTGAAGGGGCGAGGTAGCATGATACGCACTAGATGCCAATCGGTTCAGTACTCTTGCTCGTGATATATTCGATATTTTCTAGAAGTTCCTCTATATTTTTTTTTTTTGCAGGCATGCAATTTACATTTCATACGGCTCAGTATTACCGTTTGCGAGTTGAAAGGGCTCATATAGTTTTTATCCAACATGAAATTCTTTTTGTTGTTTAGATGAATGGCCGTTAAAATTTTTGATGTTAGAAATATGACTCTTTAAGATAATGTTTGGGTTCGGAAGTTAATCATTGGGAAGGAAACTATGTGGGAAATAAGAAAAAAGAATTCTTAATCGATGTGCTTCTTTTTAATGCGTTTTTTAGCAAGATGTACGGCGTTGATTTTTTATAATTTATTTCTGCACTCACAAAATTTTTTTTTGCGAAGGACGGTAGTGTATTTCCTGAATTGAAGTCAGAGTTATTCAATGTTGTATGGAGATACCAGGAATTCGAGAACTACCAAACCGGATCGGGAAATTATGTGTCGCCATAGAGTAGTCATGCCTACTGTATGATTTCAATCGGGGCATTGTTCTAATATGTTATGAAAATTAAATTCTTTCAGATTTGAAGGAGAGTATATGAAATAAACTGGCGATGAAATTGCTTACGCATAACTTCCTATCGTCAGTCTTTCTGAAAGGCGTCACAGAGGGTTATCCATTGATTTTGTCAGCGACAAGAAAAAAAATAACGCAACATGAATATAATGATTCGTTTATACAACGGATGATCCCAAAGCTGAACTACGGCGCTTTTCGAGAAGCAGCGCTAAGTATAGGTGAGGGTGATAAATTACCCGAGCAACTGCCTGAAAAATTGGAAGATGAAGAGTTGAAGAATGAATTGCATCGCTTATTAGTATGTGTAGAAGTTATCGAAGGTGAATTGAAGTGTCCCGAAAGTGGACGAGTTTTTCCGATTCGTGATGGTATACCAAATATGCTTACAGATGCAAATGAAGTCAAGTAATTTATTCATTTTGCTGTTTATATTAGTTGTACAGCAGCATGTATTTTAAATCGGAATGTTTTGTTTTGTTTTTGCGGTGTAAATCCAATACTTTACATACAGTGTATGTCATGTTTTGATGTTCTCTTTATCCTGTTGTTGCTTTGAATTTCAGAAATTGCTTGAGGCCATAAAATGAATGTTGTTAGCCCTTTATTAAAATGGTGTATTTACATTACTGCGGTTCTATCATCCAATATCACTTCCTTGCTAGATTGCAGAAAGAGAAATGGATTTCGTAGATTTTGCTCAACGAAATCAAAATAGTATTCAAATACATGAGAAACGTTCATTCCCAAAAATATGACACATGAATGCTACAGTAGGTTCTGCCATTTTTCTTGTTCCAGCTCTTCGATTCGCTGTTGCTGAAAATCGAGTTTAATAAAGTTTAAGAGATCAGAGCTGATTATGTAAGTTATATGAGGACGTTTAAGAGTGCTAAGAGTTAAGAGAGTTTAAGCTTGTGGTTAATAAAAGCATTAGATTGATGGTGTGCCCGGTTGATATGAACATTTGGGAACATAAGCTATCAAATCATTTAATTTGTTAAGGAGATTCTGTCTTGGGCTAACAGAAGGTGAAGGACAGAACAGAAGGACAGATTGCAGTCATGCACTGATACAGTCGGAAATACCTGTGATGCTAGCAGCTAAGGTAATACTACTCAGTTCATCTACTAATTAGGAAACTTTATTCACTATAAAGGAACAAATAGAAGTCTAATAATTTTTCTGCAAGCAAAAGACAACTTGTTGTTCGATAACTTTTTCTTTGGCCATAAGTTTGTCGCGTAGGACAGCAACCGCACCACAGTCGTATTTTCGCTCGTTTAGTTTATCATTCAGTGATCGGATTTCTTCACGTTGTTTCTCAATTTCAATTTCCAGCTTGATTATTTGTCTCAATAAATCATCGTACTGGAAATATCGATTTTTGGGTTTTTTTTGCTTTTTATTTTTTTGCCTTTTTGCTTTTTTTTTTATAATGCTTTCCCCTAGTATGATTCGGGCATGAACTCACAATTTCACAAAAATTATTTTGTGAATTGTAATTCCTTATCTTCCTCATCATCTGTTCTTTGTGAACTTCATATGGAAAGTAGGAGACTAACCTGTTCAGCTTTTTCTCTCAGCCTATGTAATTCTTCGTCAGGTATATTATGTACTACATCTCTACTTATTTCATCAATACCATCAGTTGTTTTTGCACCTTTCGGAATTTTCTCCTTCTCGCTGACACTTGACAATAGTTCTCTGTTTTCCTGAAATGAAAATGAACATATCTTCAGAAGTAATCTCATTTAATTTTTCAATTTAAAAATAATCTGTTTTAGCTGAGAATTCACTTACCTGTCAAAGTCTTCACACCAATACTATTTACTACGTTTGGAGTTTAATTAATCTATTTTCCAGGAAGTAAAATATCAAAATAGAAAAGCCAAAGAGAAGGGAAACTTATTTAAACTCAAGGTCTAATTCTAGCAAACAGTATGAATTTGTGAAATCACACAAAATGGAACCTTTTCCATTTGAACAATTTTCTGATTCAAATATATGTTTGTTTCTTCTGCTGTTTTTAAGCGATCATTCACTATTTTCCCTTGCAAGTTATTCAATTCCTTATCACTCTTCAACTTTCTGATCATCTCTTGCAATCGTTTCAGTTCACCACTTCGACTATTTTCTGATTGATGCAATTGTTTGATTTGTTGATCGCGTCTTTTTAACTTGTCGCATGCTTCCTGTTCACGTTGTTCCGTATCTTTCAGTTTTTTCCGAAGTAGACTAACGTTGTTTTCACGTGCTTTCTTTTCATGCCATTTTGATATCTCTTCCTAATGATCATAATTTTTCAAAAATTATGATGAACTAGAGCTGATATAATGGAACTTGTAATTTTCCGGATGGGAAACAAATCCAAAATTTGAGTCATATGAAGGAAACCTGTGTATTTTTAACGGATTGATTTTTCTGCAATCGATCAATGACTTCTTTTTGTTCCCGAATCAATTTCTTCTGATTTCCGGCTTCTTTTTTAAGGTCAGAAAGTTCCTCTTGAAGTCTGAAATGAATAGTTGGAGATATCAATTCTGAATGAAGAAAAAATTTTCTCCGGTGGCTAGTCAACTCTCGAAATATTTGCTTATTCGAGTCAAATATATTTCTTTTTTGCTTTCATTGTAGGATGATTGTTATATGATCGAGAAAACTATCGGTTCTTCAAAAAAAAAAACAACTTTTCCTCGAAAAATAAATTATTTATTAATTATTTCGTTGCTATATTCATTAAAAATTATAAATTAATTTAATTAAATTAGTTTTCAATGAAAGCCTTAAAGAATACTTTTACCTCATAACAGTAGCTTCTGGTTCGACATTGATATTGGATGTATAGCTATGTTTAATTTCAGATAATGCTTGAACTCGAATATTTTCACATGCCTTTTCCAGTTCCTAAATATGAATTAGCCTAAGGCATAATATTCCCAAATGCTGTCTTTCATCAGACCACAGTGACCTTAGTTTTCTCAGATTTCCTTATATGGTCAATACGTCAAATATGCCAAACATAATGTTGATCGTTCGAAGTGAATATAATCGATCATTTGCATACCGTAAGCTAAAGAAATTTTTAAGTAACGAATTTGTTAAGCGTCAAACCTGATTTTTAATCTGTAATGCAGCATTGCGTTGTTTCAGATCTCTGATTTCCATACGCATTACCATCGTTCTTGATTCTTCCCTTCGTAGTGCTTCCATTAGAACATTATTATTTTGCGCATCAGTCACTTCAACAGGCGTAAATTGTTTTGATGATAGTGTTCGTATCTGTGTAACTGTTGATGGTTCCTGACTAGTAACGCTTTTTCCTGTTTTTGTTGTCGTATTAGGCATGTTATTCTCTTTATTCCCAATAATTCCATCCATAATCTCATCATTATCACTGATCACAAGCAAATCAGTTTGCGTACTAATCTCTGCACAATCTTTAGCTTGATTGCGAAAGTGTTGAAGATCTTTTGTAAGTTTTCGATTTGCCTTAATGAATTGTTCGATGTCATTTCGCAGTTTAATTATTTCCATATCTTTTGTTTCAATATTAGTGTCGTAATTTTGTGATAAAATTTCGCTTGATGTTCGCAGTTTTCGTCTTGTTAAATCACCCATTGTAATTGATGATGAATCATCGACGATCCTTTGCGCAGTTTGTTCATCCGGCATAATTTTTAACAATGATTTATATTTTTCAATAACTTCATCTTTATACTTCAACTGTTCCTGGAATTTTGTATTTTGGGATGAAAAGAAAGAAGAGTCGAAATTATCCAAAGATTGTGAACAAACTTATCATGAGCAAATTATTAGTAAACTTATCAGGAGCAAGTCATAAGTAAACTTACTGCGTTCACTTTCATTGCAAAAGACTTGAATAAACAATTGAAATATGCTTCTCCAACAATATTACAACAGTAAGTTTCTTTTCTTTTGGTGTAATTTTATAAGAATTTGTAAATTTCAAATGCGCACACAACTAACCTTATAATTTGCAATACATAATTTGGCTGTTTCACTGAAATAATTCAATTTTTTCATATATTCCTCCGAATAAGTGCGCGCAGTTTTGGGTGTAACATCTGCTTGTAAATCAGTTATCGCATGACATTTCACGTCCCATTCACTATCGATGGTTTCTGTTGGTGTCTCACCTTTCCGCCCAGTATTTTCAGATTCTTCCATCTCCAAGTTTGCTTTTTCACCGCTAACATTCTGATCATCTAATTTCAATTCATCATTTCCAACACTTGGAAAAAGTTCGTTAGCAATAGGAGAAATGATGGATTCATCAATTCTTTCATTTTCATCATTGAAATCGGACATTTTAAAAGTTGCTGCAAATAAATCTTCATTTTCTCTTTGTAGACTGTTTACTGTTTCCTCCAATTTCTGAATCTCTTTATCTTTCCTTTGTATCTGAAAAAAATATTTCAAGATTAATTTAATTCGTTTTTGAATTTTTCTTAAATTCCTTAAAACTATAATTGACATTGAAGAAGTTTCTACCGCAAGTTGTTGAAAATTAATTTCTTAACAAGAGAATAAAAAATGGGTATATTCTTTATGGAATAGGATAAAAAGTGATTTGTCAAATCTTTTTCACTTTAACGAATCATGTACTAACATTGTAAGACTTCTTTTTCCTGTAAAATGCCCACAATATTAAATGGTCAGTGGTCAATTGAGTGGTCAGTGAAGGGTGATTGGAAGGATGAATGATAGTTATAAAGAGAATGGAAGGAAATATCATAATAAGTAAACCTGTAATTCAGCATTTTCAAGTTGCTTCTTTGCAGTGAGCATATTTAAATGACTGGCTTGTAAACTTTTCCTCAATTTGATCACATTGTAATCATTCTCTTGCAACAATTCATAACTTTTTCGTAATGCTTCAGCATGTCGTAGTTGCAAATCTAATTCTTCTTTTCTCTTTCAATCTATAACACTTGGAGTAGGTAAGAAGTGTTGAAAATTTCAATTTTAATTTTCTGCTTACAGACTATCCTTAGTCAAGTTTAGACTTCAGTTTTAATCTTCTACTTGCAGACTGCTTCATTGATTGCAAAATTGATTAAAAAAAATGGTGATAGAAAGATGCAAAACAATATTTTTAACACCTCACAAATTCACCTCTTCTTTGTACTTCTGACTTTTTGTATAATTAGCATTGATCTCAATAAACTTCTCCTTATACTGTAGCATCTGTTGTACAGTAATCAATTCCATTGAATTTGATCGCATACGCTATAAAAAAAAAAAAAAAAAAAACGAAGAACTGTGAAATTTAATGACTGTCAATTCAAACTTTCATAATCCATTTCCTATCGCCACATATTTTTTTCCTTTTCTCCTTTTCTTACTTTCTTATTTAAATGAAGAGATCGAACTATTTCATAAAGTTCGTTTAATTTTAGTGAGGACATCACAAAAAAAGAAATTTAAATTTATAAAAACGAATAAGTAAAGCAGACAAAAGAGACTGATATACTAATTCCTTTTTATCAAAACTAAAGACCAAGAGTTACAATCAATTTATTACTTGGCCAGGAAAAAAGTCGAGATTTTAAATTAACTAACCTGAAGGAGTAACTGCAACGATCTGATTACTTGGATCAATTTTTTTTTCTCATTTGCCCAACTTCGTTTTTTCCTAGCAAATTCATTATGCTGATTCAAGAATTGATGACCGGTCAATTTTTGATTTTGTGAAAATAACGCTCGATCGGAAAGTGCTTTTAGGAAGCGCCGTTCTAATGCAGCTAATAGACTTTTCATCTGTGATTCACTTTCAACATCTTCCAGAAAATGCATCATTTCGGTATTTTGCTCTCGAATTTTCTCCACTTCATTTTGCCAATATTCATTTTGGCTTCTTAGAACATTTATCATTTCCTAAATAGAAGTTTTACAATTAGAATATTCCGAATTCGTATATTTAAGAATTGCAAATCCGTCTCATTACAGATATTGTCTTATCCGGAAAACTAGTAAAACGTATACACGTACTACACAACGTATAATACGTGTAGTATATATTTCTGCCTTACTATTCACTTATTGCATCCGATAGTTTCAACCGTAGCCTAATAAAACTTTACAGCAAGCCATCGCTTGTCGAAATGAATTGTTTGAAAAAATTAAAGGGTATAATTTTAAAAAAACGCCTTTACTGATCCCTTTAAAAAAATGAGAATGTCAACCTTTAAATGAGCATTCTCTACTGTAATTTCACCACTTCTTGCTTCATCACTCATCTCCAAAAGGTTTGCAACGATGTAATCTTTCTCCTAGAAAGAGTTATATCTAGCTAATTGTATATGTCATTGTCTCTTCAACGTTCACATTTAAACGTCTGTTTAAGCTGTGTTATGATCATACGTTACATTATTTTCTTTTAAATTACTTGTAAAATATAGCATTTGGAATTTTTTGATCACTTATTTATTGTTTACTACAAGTTCAATTCGATAGTAAAAATAACTTTTTGACTTTTACACTTGACACTTATTGAAATGCTCTGGTTTGAAAAAGCATACCATGAAATGATATGCTGATCAACCTAACATCTACCGGATCCTATTTCCGAAAGATGCAATTAAGATGCAATATCTATCCTACCTTTTCATCATTTTTGAAATCATCTATCGATTTATAATTGTCATCAGAAATTAACATTTGCTTGTGTTCTGCCAATAGTTTATCATAATCTCGTTTAGGAACAGAATGCAATAAAAGTGTTTGAAGACGTGCTATCTCAACTGATGCCAAATCCTAAAATGAAAATGTCCCAAGGGAACTTTGGCCATATTTATTCATTGAATTCTTGAAAATTTAAGCTAAAAATTAACACAATGAATTAAATTTTTAACTAAATTTATCGTAGTGTTTCGTTCTTTTTTTTTGGCTCAATTATTTATTCCAGCTGAATTCAGTTTTTGAATGTTGAAGGCTTTGATTCAAATGAAAACCACAAAGATATTTGTTTCGTAACAAAACGGTTCAAAGGTAATTTTAAATTTAAGGAAGTAAGGATTTAATTAAGTTTAAAGACAATAAAGATTTACCGATTCATAGTTGGTAGTCTTAAGTTGTGTAATGTGTAACAAACGTTGCTTTTGGTAGTTCCGCTCAAGTTTCCTATATTCAATATTTTGATTGTTTCGATTACGTTCAACAATTTCTACTTTTCGTACAAGTTGAAGATTTCGCAATCGTTCTGCGACCACTTGTCTGTTCATCTCTTCTACTTTCTGTTGCATCTCATTTCCACTTAAACGTATCGAATTGGCCAATTTCTTGAAGTTTGTTTAAAATTAGTCCAAATTAAATTAATTGACTAATTGTAAAATATCATCTCCCACTATTTAGCTTGATCAAATGGCTGTTGAAATGATAGGCGAGATATATTGATAAAAGAATGAAGAGATAGAAGAATGAATGGATGTCTAAGCTATATGCAGTCATTTTTTGATGCCAAGATCAAGGCCATATTTTTCATCCGTTTCTCGATTTTATCATTAAATTGTGATTAAATTATCACTGAACTTTAATTTTATCATTAAATCTTGTAAAGTGAAAAAAGTTATCTAAAAATTATTTTTTTAATGCTCCCGTAATAGAATTTTCTTCATTTTTTTCTTGCAAATTTTTGATGGCTATTTGTTGACACTGTAACATCTCACCTGATGTTCCTCAATTTCGATCTCATAACATTCCATTTGTTGACGTAACTCATCGATAATTTTATTGTGCTGTGTCATATCATTTACAGATACTTCCTTCTGCAGATTGAAATACTTCACTTTTAGTTCATCGATACTGCTTGCTGCACGCTGCATGTTCTTTTCCATACGTTGCAGTTGGCTATCTTTTTCGTCCAATTCCTTTAAAAGGAATAAATTTATCGAATTGGATATTTTCTTCTTCAATCAATTCAAATTAAATAAAGAGAGAAAGAAGATAGAGAATGATTGGGAGCTTTTAATAACTGCAACCTTCCAAAACTTATTAAATAAAATTTGTTTAAAATTAAGCAAACATTATTGACATACTTTGCTTTAGTCATTAAAAAATTAAAATTAGAACCTGCATGAGCAACATCAATTCATGGTTAAGTGATGAAATAATCATCGCACTAGCTTCCAGATTTTCTAAGCCTTCCTTATATTTCCTTTTCTTTTCCCCGAGTTTTACAGGTATTTTCTTCGTCCTTAATGTATCCTCCAGATATTCCTGGCATTTAACATCAATTCCTTTCGTTTCACATAAAACATTAACGCCACCTTCAATAGAATTTTCCAATTCATTTCCACTTCTATCTGTTTTGCATTCTTCCAGTATTAGCGATTTCTCTGCGGAATTTGTCGCAGGAACGGAACCTGCTAGTTTATGATCGGAATTATCAAAAGCAGAGCTCAATTCAATTTGTAACAGTGAACATTTAGCTGTCAACTTTTCGATTTGCTGTTCCCGAAACTTGAGCTGCTTCTCCAAACGACTAATTTCAATTTCCGCACTTCCGAATATTTCCTGGAAAAGTTTACAATTTCGCATTTATCACAAATTGACACGCACATTGTTACTGTAATTCTGGCTATTCTGGCTACGTTGGTTTGAAAATGAAACGTTTTAAATTGTATTAAAATCTATTTTTGCAAAAATAACTTGTGTTCGATTCGTCAATTAATTCATTGTCGTCAAAATATCTTAACCTTCTCTAGAACGCCATAGCTCAGCCTTCTTAGGAATGTCACATTCCAATCTTCTTGATAAATTGCTTTCCTAACTAAACTTTTCAACAAATAAAGATTAAAGTTTACCTACCCCTCGAAGTCTTTTCAGTTCAGCATTCACTTTTTGATTTTCGATATCTTTCATTTCCAGATTACGTATAAGTTCGCTATTATCCATTTCATGTTGCTTAATTTCAGCATGCAAATTGTCAACAGTCTGTAAAACTTCTTTGTTTACTTATATTTGTTCTTTTTCAAGGGAATACTTTCAAAACAAAAAATGTTTGTTTTTATTCTGAAATTTCAACAACATTCAAAAAAAACAGAACAAGATGACCTCATTGAGCGTTGTTATTTGGCATTGCATTTGCGCAATTGACGGATCAACTTGATAACTTTTTACTGTAGTACTGAAAAGTTGTCGGGCTACTTTGGTAGCATCAAGAAGTTCCGTTCGTAATCTTTCCATTTCTTTTTCACCTTCCATATTATTGTCGAACATATTTTGAGCTTGTAATTCTTGTAATTCAACCTAAAATTGCATTTAAACCTTGAAATAGTCTTTCTAAAAACGAACTATAAATCCATGGATACTTGAACACATCTAAGTTTACAAATAATTTCTTTAAAATTAATAAGGGGATCTCTTGATGAAAACTTACAGTTAGATTTTTTAGGAGTAAGAAGATTTCCAAAAATTTATCGACTACTTGTTTTAAATAAATGAACAAGCAAAATGAGCAAAATTTTTATTTGGTTAAATTTTTTAAATTAAAGGAACAAACTTGTAAATTTTCAGACTTCAGCTGTAGTGCTTCAATTTGCTCATCTTTGTTCTGGAGCAGTTCCTGAAACCCTCATACCGATTATTCCTGAAACTTCCTAAAATCTAGGATAATTCCTGAAATTTTTATACCGTATACCATCATCGTACAAGCATTACAACACAATCTAATCAATGCTTTTACGTCGCCTTACTTGGTGAAATTTTCCAGTAAAAGTTTTTGAAATTATTGAAATTATGCCTTATAGTGTTGAAGTGAGTTTTCGTCAACATTCTCCGACTTTCCAGCTATCGCCTTGTTGTCTTCGAGCTAAAATGTCGTCAGACTGAGAATATACAGAGTTAAATTTTTGATCTAAAAACATCTATAATTAGTTAGCTATTTAAAGATTTGGCATTACTTGGTAGTCCAAGAGTTTAATTTTTCTTTTCAAATATTTATGCCTCGCTATTTTGACTTATTTATCCTTTCCGTTCAATTTTTTCTACTAAATTATGATTTGATTTTCAAGTTTTTCATCATCGAATAATCAAGCTGTGCTATAAATTGTTGAAAATTTTCTTAATGGGAATTACATATAGTAACAACCAACCACAATAATAATTAGTAATAATAATTAATTAACAATAATA